GAATACTACTCTGCTATTAAAAAGAATGAAATACTGACATTTGCAACTACATGAATGGACCTGGAGAGAATTATATTAAGTGAAACAAGTCAGGCACAGAAAGAGAAATATCACATGTTCTCACTTATTTGTGGGAGCTATAGAATAAATAAATAAATACACAAACAACCGGGGGGGGGGAGGGGGGACGAAAACACAACAATCACAATTCCTTGAAGTTGATACAAGAAGCAAACAGAAAGGAGATTGTTGGGAGGGAGGGGCAAGAGGTAGGAGGGAGGGAGGTTTCGGTAATGGGCCACAATAATCAACCACATTGTATATTGATAAAATAAAATAAAATTAAAAAAAAAAAAAGGAAATTTCACTGTCAATGATCTATCTTGTAAGCTCAGCCTGTCCTAGAATGGTCGTAGCAAAGGGATTTTAAACAATGCTCAAATGTCTCCTATTAAAAACTCCAAAACAAACAACCCCTTTGTCAACCATATTCCCCCTTCCAAATACTACTGCAGGTCCCTTCCTGACCAGCCAAACACTCAGCACAATTTTACTACAAGTTAAGCATCCCAAATCCCAAATCCTAACTGCTCCAAAATTCAAAACTTTTTTTAGTGCTCATATGATGCTCACAGAAAATGCTCATTGGAGTATTTCGAATTCTGGATTTTTGGATATGGGATGCTCAGTTGGTAAGTTCAGGAATACCTTGTTTCACTGTTTCACTTTATTGCACTTTGCAGGTACAGTGTTTTTTACAAACTGAAGGTATGTGGCTATGCCGCATTGAGCATGTCTACTGGTGCCATTTTCCCAACAGCATGGGCTTACTTCGTGTCTCTGTGTCACATTTTGGCCATTCTCATAATATTTCAAAACTTTTCATTATTATTATATCTGTTATGGTGATCAGTGATCTTTGATGTTACTATTGTAATTGTTTTGGGGCGCCACAAGCCGCGCCCATACAAGACAGCAAACTGAATTGAGAAATGTTGTGTGTTCCGACTGCTCTACTGCCGCCAATCCCTGTCTCTCTCCCTCTCCTCAGGCCTCCTTATTCCCTGAGACACATTTTGAAATTAGAACAATTAATAACCCTACAATGGCATCTAAGTGCTCAAGTGAAAGTTAAGTCACATGTCTCTCACTTGAAATAAAAAGCTGGACATGATGAAGCTTGGTGAAGAAGGCATGTCGAAAGCCGAGAAAGGCCAAAAGCTAGGCCTCTTGCGCCAAACAGTTAGCCAGGTTGTGAACGTAAAGGAAAAGTTCTTGAAGGAAATTAAAAGTGCTACTCCAGTGAACACACCAATGATAAGAAAGTAAAACCGCCTTATCGCTCATATGCAGAAAGTGTAGTGGTCTGGATAGAAGATCAAACCAGCCACAACATTACCTTAAGCCAAAGCCTAATCTAGAGCAAGGACCTAACTCTTCAATTCTTTGAAGGCTGGGAGAGGTGGGGAAGCTGCAGGAGGAAAGTCTGAAGCTAGTCAAGGTTGGTTCATGAGCTTTAAGGAAAGAAGGCTTCTTCATAACATAGAAGTGCCAGGTGAAGCAGCAAGTGCTGATGTAGAAGCTGCAGCAAGTTATCCAGAAGATCTAGCTAAGATCATTGATGAAGGTTGGCTACACTAAACAACAGATTTTCCTTGTAGATGAAACAGCCTTATACTGAAAGAAGATGCCATCTGGGACTTTCATAGCTAGAGAGGAGAGGTCAATGCCTGTCTTCAAAGCTCCAAAGGACAGGCTGACTCTCTTGTTAGGGCCTAATGCAGCTGGTGATTTAATTGAGGTATATACATTGTTTTTTACACATAATGCTATTGCACTCCTAACAGATTACAGTGTAAACATAACTTTAAGATGCACTGGGAAACCAAAAGATTCATATTACTTGCTTTATTGCAGTATTTGCTTTGTCAAAGTGGTCTAGAACTGAACCTGCAATATCTCTAAGGTATGCCTATATATAATGTAAATATTCCAAAATCCTAAAAGATCTAAAATCCAAAACACTTCTGGTCCCAAGTATTTTGGACAAGGAATACTCAACCTGTACCTCCATTTCTTCAGCATCTGGGTCCTCTCTCCTATGTGGCTCGTGTCATCTGAAAGTGCTCTCTGTAAGGTCATCAATGGCCTCTGTGATGTCACCACCAATAGGCACTGCCCACACCTCATCCTTCCTGACCAGTGTGGCAACACTTGGTACCACTGGTCACATCCTCCTTCATGTAAAGTTCTCTTCCCTGGGCTCTGATGACACGACAGAGCCCCACAGCTGGTTTTACTCCTAACTCCCTGTTAGATCGTCCTCCTCCATTTGGCCACTAAATATTCCTCTAGGCTAGGTCTAACTTTTCACATCTTGCTGGGACAACTGAAATAACACTTGTCTCCCTGGGCCCACTCTGTTCTCTTCCACCCTATTAACTACAATGCAAACAGGATGATCTTGTCAAAGGCAAATCAGGTTGGGTCACCGCTCTGCCGCTGCTTTTGTGATGGTGACCAAGCTCCTCCTCTTGGCCCCTGCCTGCCTCTCCAACTTTCTTTCTTACCTTGGATCCTCTCAATCTCTGTTCCAGCCACATCTGTTTTCTCTCAACCCCTTTTTAGACCAGCCATGACCATCACCAGATTCTCAGTTTGTCATCTATAAAGTGGGAAACATACCCCCTTACATTGGAGAGTTGTCCTAATGACAAAAAGAATTAATAAAAGTAAAGCATTTAGAACAGTGCTGGCACATAGCAAGCTCTGCTTCCGAGTAAACTGTGTGTCACTGTGTTCCCTGTCCACTCACCATTTTCTACACAGCCCCCAGAAGAATCCTTTTAGAAAATAAGCTGAGTCACCTCACAGCTCTGCTCATTGTTGATTAATAGTTTCTCCTCTCAAACTCAGAAGTCCTCACTATGGCCATGATCTGGCATTCTACTATCACTTTGTCCTCATTTCCCCAATTTTCCACCTTTATTGGAATCAAGTGACACTGAACTCCTTGCTGTTCCTCACACAGGCCACACACACTCCTTTTTCATTTTTTGTTCCCTCTTCCTTCAAAGTTCTTTGTCCAGTTATCCATGTGGCTTATTCTCTTATTTCCTTCAAGTCCTACAGAAATGTCATCAGAGTGGCCACACTTAACTATCCTATAAACTAGGGTTTCTCAACCTCGGCACTACTGACATTTGGGGCCAGATCATTTTGGGGGATGGGGGCTGTGCTGTGCACTGCAGGAGGTTTAGAATTGTGCCTGGGCTCCCTCCACTAGATGCCCATAGCACCCCATCTCTCAGTCGTGACAACCAAAAATATTTCCAGGCATGGACAAATGTCCCCTGGGGGCAAAACTAGAAACAGCCCAATAAACCATAATCTCAATTAAAAAACCAAAGCAAAACAGAACTACAAGACAGCCTTCTCTAGTCTCCCTTTCTTTTCTATATATCTTTTCAAGGCATTTGTCACAACCGGCCATACTTACACACATGCACATACATGTGTATACCTACACACTCACAAGTTTTTCCACTCTTAAATAGGATTATGTCATACATATTTTTCTGTGACTAGATTTTTTTCTAATAATATATTTTGGATGTCTTTCCATGTCAGAACAGACTTACCATACTTTTCTGAATGGCTGTAGAGTACTCTTTAGTATGTATATACTCAACTGTATCTCACTATTGCTTTACTGGTGACCATTTAGGTTCTTTCTTTCCAATTTTTCACTATTAAAAACAATGCAACAAACATTGTAGTATGAAGGGTGAGCATTCCTACACGGGGAACTGCTGGGACAAAGTATCTGCATTTGTAATCTGGACAGATCCAGACTCTTACACTGGCCTGCAAGCGAGTTTCTGCTATTAGCGACCTCCTTGAGCAGCTCTAGTCTCATTCTTCTGGGCATCCCCAGAGTCTTGCAGGACACCTGGCAACACTGGACGCTCCGATGACTGCCAGACTCAAGAAGGAAAAGCCACTGCTGAGCCCATGGGGCACATTTCTCTTTCTCATTCTTCACACCACATTTGAGAGCCTGTGAGTAAAAAGCTTACCTATGCTCCATCACTTTGTTTCTGGGAACTTCTTTCCAGAACTGAGTCAATTCTGCTGGACCCGTGCCAGATAACTGCTCCATTTCTGCGGCCATGATCAGAAAACGGTCTTGCGCAGAGACTGTTAAGCCTGCATTCCAAGAGGGTGATTTAGCATATAAACAGAAACCTTTCTAAGGGGTTGAATATGTAGCTTAAGGCATTATTCTAGAATACAACATTAAAGAAAAAGAAGAAAATGGAACTACCTTAAAAAAGGAAAAAGATCTAAAAAAGGAGTTTTATTTTTTTGAAACTCAATTTTAATTGGTGTAGGTTTAAACAATTTTAATTGTTAAAAAACAATTATATTTTAATGCTGGAAAGTGCTTTAGAGACCCCTTTGACCACTTCATTTCACATGAGAAAATAGATATCTAGAGTAAGGTGAGGTGACTTACTGATACTCTACTCTGCTAATTTATAGATTCCAGCCCAGCTTTGCTGACCCAGTGCTCAGTCCCAGGTCCACAACCCCCCACCATACCTGTCATGGCCACCATGTGATAACTCACCCCCGTGGGGAGACACAATGATATCAACTGATGCACCTGGATCACAGCTGCTGTTGCTTGGCTTTACTCTGTATTTTTCTGGAGCAGTTGTTCTCACCTGTTTATAAACACAGCAGTCACATGATAACCTTCATGCTTTTTGGGGGGAAACTGCTTAGGAATGACTTTTTCTTTTTTCTTAAATCAAGTTGATAATCAATGAACAAAGAGTTTATAAAACAACCTTGGTAGTTATGCATAGAATGTATTTTCCCCACCAACAGGAAGAAAGCATCTCAATCTATCTAAAAAAGATACTTCTCAGTTCAATTGTCACTTTGCCTTCCTCTTAAATAAAAAAATTAATCAATCTGTTTTATACTGTCTGCTAATCGGCTGAATTTTATGATGCAAATTCACAAACAGAATAAACATTAGATTGTATGTTACAATAGTTTTCAGAAATTAAAAAAAAAACAGTAGATAATCAAAGCATATCCAGAACACATCTTAGTGGTTACATCTAAATTAAACAGATTTAGGGCCGGCCCGTGGCTCACTTGGGAGAGTGTGGTGCTGATAACACCAAGGCCACGGGTTTGGATCCTTATACAGGGATGGCCAGTTAGCTCACTTGGGATAGTGTGGTGCTGATAACACAAAGTCAAGGGTTAAGACCTCCTTACTGGTCATCTTTAAAAAATAAATTAATTAATTAAACAGAAGATTTAAAAAAGGAATACCTACAATATGGGGTGGTGGTCGATTCAATCGTGTTATACTACTTAATGCTCAGTTTCAGGTTAGTATCCAACATGAACTACACTCCAAAATATACCACCACACTTGAAGGAAAAACACACTTTCAATTTTATAGTTTTATGTGTCATTATTATTATGAATTAAATTATTCATATAATAAAGAGTGATTTTTCTTGGGCTTTTATTTACATAAACATTAAACCCTGGGATTAATTTTTACACTAGCCTATTACTACACATTAAAGATTGAGATACACCTGATTTGAACATCACAGATTGCACACAGGTATTGATATTCAATGTAGTACCCCACAGATATATACAATCATGTTTCAACAACAATGAAAAATTGAGATACAGACTTCGGGAAGAATTTTAGATAAACTATGCTGCCTGATTAGAATTAGAAGTCAGTACAATGTGCCTAAAAATACCATAAATAAAAACACTACAAATTCAAAATTACCAATCTTTCAATTAGAATATATCTAAAATCACTTTCCATGTCAAATTTTCACAAATAATTTATTATAATCTAGGATATTTACCTTAAATGCCACTATATTTTTAGTTACATTTGTCAACACTATTAAAGTTTTCTTCTCTCCAGATTCTGTACCTCCAAAATATAGTTCTTCCGCTGGGCTAGGTAGTAACAAAAATATAAGGCATTTATATTACTCAGAATAAACAACAATCTAATCATTAGCTTGAAGAAAAGTATTTAGTTAATACTTTATGCTCATCTGTATAAAGAGATTTTACCAAAAAAGAATAAAAAACAATTACCTAATACAATTTTGTATTTTAATCTTACTGATTTAATGTATGCTATATAAAAAGTCCTGTGGTTTCCCCCAATATTAAAAGCAAAATAGGAAAGAACAGAAGAGAATCAGGAAAATTCTGAATTAATCTTAAATCAGCACCATGTTAAGGTGCATTATTTAAACTCTTTGGAAGGTTATAGATAATAATCAAAGCAAAGAAGGTATTGCTGCTTCAACTTTACCTAATTACAAATAGATTTGAATGGGGCATATTTTTATATACTGACAGAGAAGAACATAATTTAAAAAGAAAGATCATTAGGAACATACTTAAGTAATAGAATAATTTTTTTTACTATACAATAACTTTTCTCAGTAGTAGGGAAGAAGAAAACTAAACACAGAAATAAATTTGGGATGGGAACTACAGGGAGAACTTATCAAACAGTAAAGTCGGTGAGCTTCAAAATTCAAATTTTACTATCATTGGCCAATGTAATGCCCATGACCTAAAATTACTACTTTAGCCAAATTGTATCAAGTACCTCAAAAAACAATGGGAAGGACAGTGCTTTTGTTTTACATAAAAAGGTGAATAACAACTAAGGGGAGTTTTCAGATAGCCCTTGACTTTGAGATACATCTTTAAATAGATTCATTTTATATCAGGAATGTCTGCACATTAGGGGTATTTATTAACCTAGAGCATATTTTTAAGAAAGAGCTCTTCCAGAAAGGCTTTGCATAGCTTGGACAAGATGGTAAATTAACATGGTTGCTGGCTTCCATTCAGAGCCCAATCTTTCTAGTCACAGAAAAGACAGCAAGGCTATATGTCTCAGAACTGCTCTCAGTAACCACAAAAACTGAGCAGCTCCAGGAAGACAGATGTCGGTTGGGTCCTTGTGCATGTGTAGGAGCAGTCTGTGATTTTACTGGGGGCAGAGACAGTGCCCAAAGTGCAGCCGAGAAGCTGTCTTGCTCCAGGCTGGCTTTCTCCCTAGCCTGCTCTTCCTGTCATACCTCTACACTTATAAGCTAGGACCTATGCTTTTGACAGGCCTCCGGGGAAAACATAGAATGTGCACTTCCCAGACCAGGACAAAAAAAAAAAAAAGTGGAAACAAACAAACTCCAAAGGGAGGAAATGGCAAAGAAAAACCATGGAAGATAGAAAATGTATATGCTTCTCACTCTCTCTCTCTCTCTCACACACACACACACAGATGGTGGAGATAAATCCAAATACAACAGTAAATCAAAACACAGAGTCTTCAAAAAGTTCAAGGAAGGATTTCTATTCTTTCGTTTGTTTTAAAATTTAATTTTAATATTTTCATGTATCTACAATAAATGGAAAACAGGACAATAACACATATGGAAGAGGGACTAAGAATTAACTTAGTGCTTTAGGAAGAATTGTAACAAATGCTAGTTATAGAGCACTTATGTGTCAAAAAACATTCTTCAGGTTTTTACAGAGATAATCTCCTTTAATCCTCACAATAATGTCTTTTTAATTAATTCATTTTTAATTGACATATAGATGTACATATTTACGGAGTAGAGTTATATTTCAATATATGTACATAATGTGTGATGATCCAATCAGGGTAATTAGCATATTCATCATTGTTAACCTTAATAATTTCTTTGTGATGAGAGCATTTGAGGTCCTCTCTTCTAGCCATTGGGGAACATATGATAAATTACTGTTAATTATAGATGCCTAGCACTCTTGTATACCACTAGAATTTATTTTTCCTGTCTAGCTGTAATTTTGCATCCATTAACCAAGCTCTCCCTATCCCCTTCCTCCTCCTCCCCTTTCCAGCCTCTAGTAAGCACAATTCTACTCTGTACTTCTATAAGCTCAACTTTTTTTTTTTAGCTCTCACATGAGTGACATGTAGTATTTATCTTTCTGTGCCTAATTTTACTCAATGTAATGTCTTCCAGGCTCACCCATGTTGCTGTGAATGACAGGATTTCATTCTTTTCTATGGTTGAGTAGTATTTCACTATGTATATATTGTATTATCTTTTAATTCCATTTTTCCATGAACTTTTTGAAGTATCCTCGAATATGTAAACAAACCAATCTTGTCATTAGACAGAATCTCAGGTTATATTTTCAAAAAGTCTGTCTATATTGTTCATAAGAGACATACCTAGAACAGTTACACAGAAAGGTTTCAAGTAAAGAGACAGAAAATGCTACATTAGATCATAAAGTTGGTGTGGCAATATTAACATAAGGCCAAATAGATTTACCAACCAAAAGCATCATCAGCGAGAAAGAGTTTCTTTACACAATAATAAAAGAAACAATCCTGAATCTTTTGAATCAAAGACCCTAGGCAAAAATAGATACGTGCTGAAATTTGGCTTTAGTCACAAACTTATTTTTCTATTTCACCTTTGGCTTCTGGAAGGTCAAATTGACAAATGCAATTTCAGTGTCATTCCTGATAACCCCGAATTTCTGCAAGTCTAACAGGATCAGTAATGTGAGAAAAATACATGTCATTCAGATTTATTGTTAATATATGAATATTTACTTTTATCATTTCATGTGATGTGTGTTGAGAGCCCTTTAAAAACACTCAACAGAATAAATAAGAAAAAGTAGCTAAAAACACCCACTATGTCTGGAAACCAAGGCAAGCCTTCAGATAACCCTTGATTTTGTACCTCTACAGTTTCAAAAACAGCATAAAAGTTTTCTTAATTTTGTGGCTCCCTCAAGATGATCAAGATATGTTATAAAAGTATAGCTAATTAAAACTTCAACTATTACCTGATGTGTAACAAGGACCCTTTAAACACACTCAATGGTTTCTTGAAAGCTTTCATCTTTGAATCAACTTTTTCATGTTCTTCCACTTTGGAAGTAGGTTCGGTTGGGTTACTCTAAAAACAGAAAAAGAAAGAAAAGATAAAGAAATTTTAGTTTCACACTGACAGTTGGGCAGGTCATTAGGTCAAAAGTAAACATTATTTTGATTCAATCCAAATTAGAATCTTTGACACAGGCTTATCACATCTAAATGAAATACTTAGCATATATTAACATGACCATTAACATATATTGGAGTGCTTATTATATAAATAGGTCACGTAGAAAATATAACATGGTCCTTCCCTTAAGAGTCTTTAAATTTATTGTAAATTATAACATTGTATTTATCACTCTATCAAGCCCCTGATTACTTGTAAAAAGAGTGACAACTAACGCTCTTTAAAAAATGAGATAGAGAAAGGAACTAGGTCAAGGTAAAATTTTAAATTAATCACTTTTATTTTGTATTAGACAAAAAAATACTTTAGACAAAACAATTCCTTCTGGATACATTTTGCTAATTTTTATACAAAAGCATGGAATCAGCCTTTTATACACTAAAGTGGTGCTACTGGTCAGCCAGTCCCGTCCTTCCTCTTTCTTTTTACACACAAAGATGTGGAAGGGCAGCAAATTAAGTGAATTACCCAAAATCACATAGCCAGCTAGTGGTAGAATTGGGGCTAGACTACAGCTTTTGATTTGATTTCATTTTATTCATAAAATTACCTTTTTTAGAAGAGCTGTTTGTTCTTCATTAGAAATTGTTTCCAAGGTTTCTTTACCATCACTTTCTATATCTTCTTTACTTGAAGTTTCATCCTCACTAGTAATAGGCCCATTCTCACACAATGGTGTTTGGAAGTCATCGTCTACTAGTGGTGGGTAGGTATACTTGAAAGGGTCCTAAAAGAAAAGAATTTTATGTCAGCCTGCTAACAGGTGGGTAGAGAAATGATTCTCTTAGTAGGTTTAAAATTTATTACGCTGGTCAAGAAAACAGACTTAGACAGTAAAATTTAAAATAAAGGAAGCATTTCAAACCAGAACAGAAAAGAGCAGTAAGTGGTGTGGAACAGTTGGCTAACCATCTATAAAAGAATCAAATTCGATCTTTAGCTCACTCTTTACGCCAAACAGAATTTCAGACGAATAAAAGCTTTAACTCTGTGTGTGTGTGTGTGTGTGTGTGTGTGAGCGTTTGTAAAGCTATATGAGCTCCAGAACAACACAGAAGATTAAAAATAAAAAACAAACAAAAAACCTAACTAGGCCTTTCTACACATAGCGCAAAACCTAGAAGTCATAAAAATATTGATAAGAATTGAGCACACATGAAAATGAAACATTTCTGAATGGCAAAAAGCAAACAATACCCAATCAACCAACCAACAAACCAACCACCAAAAAAATCCTAAAACAAAACACATAACGTTTTTGTTTTTTGTTTTAAAAGTCACTACTGGGAAAATATGTACCACACACATCAGAAACAAAAGAGAGCTTTTGTTAATATATATAGATCAATCAGAAAAAGACTAACAAACCACCAGAATAAGAGTAATGATAGAGTTCACAGAAAAAGAGAAGACTGCCTTTTGAATCATAAAAATGCTCAATATCACCTATAATAAAACAAACGCAAATAAAAACCACAATAAAATATTTTTCACCTGAGACTGGCAATGATTACAAAAATGAGAATACGTGGTGTTGGCAAGGATGCGGTTCAAGCATTCTCACACATTATTGGTAAATGGGCACAATCTCTTTGGAGGGAATTTGGTGACAGCTATCAAAATTAAAAACTAAATATACCCATTGACCCAATGACTTTATTTCTAGGAGTTTATTCTATACATATTCTTGCTGCACCCATATATCAAGAGCTATTTACAAAGATATGCACCACAGCAATATTGGTAATGGCAAAAGATTAGAAAACAACTAATGATCCTTCCAAAGAGGACTGATTAAATAGATTATGTTATATCCAACCACACAATGAAATATTCCGCAATAGTTTAAAAAATGAGGTAGGGCCGGCCTGCAGCTCACTTGGGAGAGTGCGGTGCTGATAACACCAAGTCAAGGGATAAGATCTCCTTACTGGTCATCTCTTAGATAGATTAGATAAGATAGATAGATAGATAGATAGATAGATAGATAGATAGATAGATAGATGATAGATAGATTGGATGGATGGATGGATGGATGGATGGATGGATGGATGGATGGATGGGATGGATAGATGGATGGATGGATGGATGGGATGGATAGATGGATGGATGGATGGATGGATGGATGGATGGATGGATGGACGGATGGACAGATGGATGGATGGATAGATGGATAGACAGATAGACAGACAGATAGATTAGACAGATGGATGGATAGATGGATAGATAGATAGATAGACAGATAGATAAAATAAAAATGAGGTAGACCTCATGAATCAATATGGTATAACCTACAAAACAAAGGCTGTGGAAAAAGCACAATTGAACAATATATATGGTATGTGTAAAGAAGTGTAATGGATAGACAACCCTGGAAGGATAGAAAACTTGTTAATAAGAGTGATTGCTTCTAGGGAGTGGCAGTCGGCCCTGATGTGGGGAAGGAGACCTACTTTTCACTGTACTATTACTCTTTTCAGTCTCTGGTATTGTTTACTTAAAAAAAAAAATTGTATGTATTGCTTTTTTGAAAAAAAAAAAAAAAACCACCATAAAAATTTATGTTAAAAAATAGTAGTCCTACTATAATTCTGAGCACAGTCCTGAAGAAATATACCACTAACAATAGAGAGGGGAAATAAAATAACCTTCTGTACATGTAAAAGTAGAAATCATTTTTACTAAACACTATTAATTTTAAGATAGAATTTTATGGGCAAATTATTAAAACTGACAAATCAAACAAAATTGTTTTTTTGAACTTAAGCATAGTACCTGAAAAGAACCGTACTTGGTTTTTCTAGGTGAAAATGTAAAATATAAAGCCTCAGAACAGGAAAGCAGCAGACTTCAAATAAAAAAGTATTGGTTCAAGTCTTTTCTAATCAAAGAAAACAAACAGAAGGACATACCAAAACTTTTTGTCTTGCTAGTCCTTCGTTCTGGTTGAATACAATTTTGCCAGGTGGGCATAATACAAAGTAGATTGTAAAAATCAAATGACTGAAATATTATCAAGCTAACCCAAAGCATACCAAATCCATATATTTTGGTTTATCAAAAAAAAAAAGTCACTACCACAATTAAGTTTCATTGTTATGTAATATTGAAAGTTTAACATGTACCCACTTATACCTGATCTCTTATTTGTAAACACTAAAAATCAGTTCAAAAAAATCTTGATAGTATATGCTTAATAATATCTTTTAAATTAAAGACTGCTGAAGAGCAAATAATCTGGAAGCAAACTGAAGACACGTCAAAAGGAAATCCAATAACTTATGGTTCATCTCTAGATAATGGAATAAAGAGAGCTTGACACATTGATTTGGAATGATCTCTAAGACAAGAAAAAAGAGCAGCATGTGCAACAGCATATGAATACACAACCTGTTTAAAAGAGATGGGAGGGAAGAAGAATTAAATATACTTATTTGCTTATGTAGGTAATAAATATCCCTGGAAATTAATATAAGAAATGCAACTGGGGAGGGGAACAGGGTGGCTGGGGACAAGAGTAGGAGGAGACATTTTACTGAAAACTTGTTTCTCAATACTATCCTGAGTATTGAATACTCTTCAGTTTAGAACCATGAAAATATACAAAGGTACTTTAGAAAGTTCACAGAAAGATTGTTATTTTTCCAAGAACTTTTTGAAGTACCTTGTACTACTTATTCAAAAAAATAAAAATGTAACAACTTTAAAACTTAAATTAAAAAAAAAGTCTGTAACCACTGCTTACTATTATAGGGATATATGTGATCTCTCTTTGGATGTTATGATATTTTTCCTAATGTGCCATTATCCAGTATTATTTTGTAAAGAAGTTTCAAGTACTGTACTTACAGTTCCACCCATGTGGGGAGGCAGGTATTCGACACTGACATAGTCCTGGACTTCATTTTTGCTTGTAAACTTCAACAAACTCACTGCTTCTGGACCAAGCCAGGTTTTCACGATTTTGAAAGCAGCTGAAGAAAAAAGTCACTTCATTAAAATCCTTTCAATTCTCTTTTTCAATTACTTTATTGTATGTGCTAACCCAGGTCTTCTAAAATCAGTTTGGGCTATAATCTGTAAATATTTATCTTGACGCTGGCATGACACTTGACATGGCATGACAATTAACATTCTCTAATTCCTGTAAGTGTTTACATTGAGATGGTCCCTTATGGGTTTCAAATGTTCCATGAAGACTCAGGAAGATTAAATTACCCTGATGTTTATTAATAAACTTATCAGGGTTTTGGCATTTGAACAAATCCATCAACGATTCTACGTACTTAGATTTCCAGACACTCAATCAAACTGTAATGTGATTCAGGGAATAACTGCACAATAGTATGGGAAAGGTCATTTATCTTATGTTCTGATAAACTCCCAATCTGAAAAGCCTTCTCTCACATGGCAAGTCAGGAAGAGAAAGTGGTAGCCCTCCTCATTATGGGAGTAAGCTGGACCCAGGCTTCTTTCCTATTCCTAAACTTCTCTGCCTTTCCCTAGGCCCTGCAGTTTATATAATTGTGGGGAACTTAACAAAATCTACAAGAATAAACTGTTATCAAACACAGCTGTTTAGTAATTACAATATTCTGTCATGCCATTTCTTATTTAGTTTCTTAAATCTTATTTCCATTTTGACATTCTAAGCACATTTTTAAGAAATAAGGAGGAATACTGCATTAAATTTGTAAAATTGTCAATAAAAAAACCCAGGAAATAAGAACAGCATGATAAAAATTAAATGGTAGTTCAGAAAATTAATTTTTGCTTTGGCTAACTATGACTTAAGTTATTTTTTTACAAACCACTTAAATTTTCACTAATTTCAATTTTAAAAGTTTGTGAGTTGACATGTTTGATGTTATGCTACTTAAAGTGCTAAATCTAATTTTTTAAAACAGGTTGATTAAGGTATAATTTACATACCAGAAAATTCACCCTTAATACAATTCAATGGTTTTTAGTATATTCATGGAATTGTGCAACCATCAGCACTATCTAATCTTAGAACATTTTTATCACACCAAAAAGAACACTCACTCATTAGCACTCTCTCTTTCTCCCTCCTTCTCCCAGTCCTTGGTAATCACTAATCTATTTTCTGTCCATGGATTTACTTGTTTTAGACATTTCATATAAACGGAGTCATACAACATATGGCTTTTTCTACTGGCTTTGTTCACTTAGCATGTTTTCAAGGTTTATCCATGATGATGCACGTATCAGTACTTAATTCCTTTTTATGGCTGAATAATCTTTCATTTTATGGATATATAATATTTGTTTATCCCTTCACCAACTGATGAACATTTAGATTGTTTCCACTTCTTGCTATTATGAATAATGCTGCTATGAACATTTGTGTACAAGGTTTGTGTGGATATGTTTTCACTTCTCTTAGATACATACTAAAGAATGAACTTCTGGGTCATATGGTAATTCTGTTTAACTGCCAAACTGTTTTCCAATATGGCTGCACCATTTTACATTCTCACCAGCAGTGGATGAGGGTTCCAATTTTTCCACCTCCTCACCAACACTTACTATTGTGTCTTTTTGGTTATTACCACCCTAGTGGGGATGAAGTAGAATCTCACTTGTTTTGACTTTCATTTCTCTAATAACTAATGATGTTGAGCATCTTTTTATATGCTTATTGCCCATTTGTAGATCTTCTTTGGAAAGATGTCTATTCAAATGTTTCACCCATTTTTAAAATCAGGTTATATGTCTTTTTATTATTGGGGTTGTAAGAGTTCTTTATATATTCTAAATATAAGTCCCTTATCAGATGCATAATTTGTAAATATTTTCTTCTGTTTTGCGGGCTGCCTTTTTATCTCCTTGTTGGTGTCCTTGAAAGCACAAAAGTTTTTAATTTTAATGAAGTCCAGTATATCTATTTTGTTGTTGTTGTTGCTTGTGCTTTTGGTGTCATAGCTAAGAAACTGTTGCCTAATCCAAGTACATGGATTTACTCCTATGATTTCTTCTAAAAGTTTTAGCTCTTACATTTAGGTCTCTGATCCATTTTGAATTAACTTTTATATATGATATGAGGTAGGGGTCTGACTTCATTCTTGTTGTCTCTGAACCATTTATTAAAAATACTTCTTTTTCCACTGATTTGTCTTGGCATCATTGTCAAAGTCAACTGACCTTACCGCTAGGGTTTATATCTGAATTCTCAACTCTATTTCATTGATCTATATGTTTATCCTTATGTCTGCACCACAATGCCTTGATTACTGTGGCTCTGTAGTAAATTTTGACATCAGGAAGTGTTACTCTTTCAACTTCGTTGTTTCTTTCAAGATTTTTTTTTACTACTCTGGATCTCTTGCATTTTCATATGAATTTTAAGATAAGCTTGTCACTTTCTGTAAAAAAGGCAGCGGGGTTTTGACAGGAACTGCACTGAATTAGTAGATCAATTAGGAAGTATTGCCATCTTAACAATATTGAGTCTTCCAATCCATGAACAAGAGATGTCTTTCTATTTACAAAGGTCATCTTGAATTTCCTAAAATGGTGCTTTGTAGTTTTCAGTACACATTTCTTGAGCTTTTTATTAATTTTATTTCTAAATATTTTATTCTTTTTGATGCTATTATAAATGAAATCATTTTCTTAAGTTCATTTTTGAATTATTCATTGCTAGTATATAGAAATTTGACTGATTTTGTGTTTTGGCTTTGTATCCTGCAAACTTGCTGAACTTGCTTTTAGTTCTAATATATTTTTGTGTGTGAATTCCTTAAAATTTTCTATAGGATTATGTCATCTACAAATAGAGATATAGTGTTACTTCTTCCTTTCAAATTGGTATGCTTTTTATTTTTTTTCTTGCCTAATTGCCCTGGCTAGAACCTCCTATACAATGTTGAATAGAAGCAGTGAGAGCAGACAACCTTGTCTTGTTCCTGATATTAGAGGAAAACATCCATTCTTTCACTGCTAAGTATGATGTTAACTGTGGGTTTTCAGATTCAGGTTTTTCAAAGACGTCCTTTATCAGGCTGAGGAAGTTCTCTTCTGTGTGGTAAGGAATTAGCCTTACCTAAAGAGAGGTCTGGCCTTCGCCCTCAGCTTCTGGGAGGTAATCTTTATGCCTGATAGGATTATCTTTATTTGCCTAGGGGCCTTGGGTCATACTGGAACAATTTAGGGTGGAGGCTTTGGGTCACACAGTATCAACAGACCTGGAGACTGAGATCAAACGCATAAGCAATCAATCATGCACAGGTAATGGAGCCCCAATAAAAACTCAGAACACTGAGGCTTGGGTGAGCTTCCCTGGCTGGCAATACTCCATGCACACTGCCACACACTGATGCCGGAAAAGTAATGTGCTCCACATTTGGTGCTTTCCTGGACTTTACCCTATGTTTTACTGCCCTTGGCTAATTTTAATCTGAATCCTTTCCCTGTAATAAACCACAACTGTAATAGCTTTCAGTGAGTTCTAGGAGTCCTTCTAGTGAATTATCAAACTTGAGGGTGACTTTGGTCATCTCCTGACCTTGCAGTTTGCGCCAGAAGTGAGGGTGATAATGTGTGGACTACTGTGGTCCCTATAACTTCACAACTCTGCACATTCTGTTCCTAATTTGTTGAGTGCTTTTATTATGAGAGGGTACTTTTATCATGAGAGGGATTTTGTCAAATGCTTTTTTTGTGTCTACTGAGATGATCAAATAGCTTTTTTTCCTTTATTAATATGGTGGATGACACTGATTTTCATAAGCTGAACCAACTTTGCATTTCTTAGATAAATCCCACTTGGTCATGGTGTATAATCCTTGTTATATGCTGCTGCATTTGATTTGCTAGGACTTTGTTGAGGATTGGTGAATCTATATTCATAAAAACTAATGGTCTGTAGTTTTCTTTTCCTGTTTTGTTCAGCATTAGGGTGATACCTGCCTCATAAAAACAGTTGGGAAATATTCTCTCCACTTCTATTTTTTGGAAGAGTTTGTTAAAGATTGGTGTTAATTATTCTTTACATGTTTTGTACAAGTTACCAGTGAAGCCATCCGGGACTGTGCTTTTCTTTGTGGAAAGTTTCTGGATTACTAATTCAATTTCCTTTGTTATACTTCTATTCTGATTCTTCTTGAGTAGGTTTCCATAGTTTGTATCTTTCTAAGAATTTGTCCATTTCATCTAGGTTATCTAATTTCTTGCCATGATTGTTCATAGTATTACCTCATAATCCTTTTATTTCTGTAAGGTCAGTTGTAATGCCCTTTCTTTTCATTACAGATTTTAATAATTTGAGTCCTTTTTTTCTTCATCAATTTGGCTAAAAGTTTGTCTACTATGTTGAACTCTTCAAAGAACCAAGTTTGGTTTTGTTGATTTTTTCCATTGCTGCTTATTATGTAACAATTAACTTTTGCAAACACAAAGAGTGTTTTTCAATGGCTTTTTCAAAAAATTTTTACCAAAAAATATATCATGACTATCAAAAGGGGTCATGTGACTACAGTGATTCAGGGTGAATTTCAGATTCATCTCACCTTCTTCCTCAACACCAGAAGCCCATGAGAAGAACCCAGCCAAACTTGTGTTTTTTGACATTCTCTATCTGTGGGTGGCAAATTGAGGCTTCTGGCTATGGTTTTACCTGAATGGTTGAATATCTTGAGGCTGGTTTTAGGGAAGACTAGTAGGTGTCCCCAGAGCCTGGAGATAGAATGTTATCCCAATATGCTTAGGAATAGCCTTTGAGTCTTCTAGCTCTAACCTCTTAAAAGTACATGTCAAGTACAATATAAACATTCTTTAAAAAAACTAGATATGTTATAGCTAAATTAGCAAAGTTAAGGAAAAGGAAACCAGACATTTTGTTTTAGGAAAGCATAAATAATATACTCACCATTCATTAACCAAGGCATATCAAAGATCACTATTTTTGCTGAAAGATGAAAAAAGAAATTTATTGAATGTGACTTAGTACCTCTAATGTAATATCACTTATACCTGGCCTAGAAAAAAATGGTCACCTAAATGCAAGTAAAAACTGAACTGGCTGACTGAATCCTGATTCAGTGAAGTATGAGTGGTGCTGAAACTGAACGAACATCTCTCAAAAGTGAGGGGCCCGCCCAGGAGGATGGCTTGTGGAAAATCAATAATGCACCATCACCATCCTCTGGCAAATAGCCAGTTCTTTGATTCACTCATTGCTTTTGTTGTTTGCAGAAATGTACAGAAGAAAATAGGGTAAGTGGAGTCTTTGGATGTGGCATATCACATTAGCACTGAAGGCCACTGAACTTTAAAAACATTTCCACATCTAATTTATGGTTTTGATTATAATTTTTTAGAGATTATATTGTTAAACCAGTCTCACAGTTGCCCCCTCCCCTTTTAATAAATCATTATGTTTTAAGAAACAAAAATTATTTTGGGCCGGCCCGGTGGCGCACTGGATAAGTGCGCCGCTTGGGAAGCGCGGCGGCGCTCCCGCCCGAGGGTTCGGATCCCACATACAGACCGGTTCCCGCTCACTGGCTGAGCGAGGCACGGGAGCAACACCGAGGGTTGCGGTCCCGTTGCCGGTCCCCGGTCCAGTACAGGGGCAACACTGAGGGTTGCGATCCGTTGCTGGACACGGAAAAAAGACAAAAGACAAAAAAAAAAAAATTATTTCTATTTTTATTAATATTATGAGCTCCAAGAGGCCAGTAATTCCAAAATACAGAAGTATTATTTGCACACTGACTTGAAGATATTAAACAGCCCTTTAACAACTGTGAGAAAAGAACCAGAAACCACAAAGGGAATTTTTGATATACAATTCATTCTTCCATTCCAGATGAATCAAATGTAATTTCATTCTACTCTGAGCAGAGAACCTCCTAGATGGTTATATTTATGTAGGGTAAGTATAGTACATATAAAGGAACAAGGTATGTGTAAAAAAGGTATGCTGTTGGGATATGCTTAGAAAGAACAGGACTCAAGATGTTAAGATATAATAGTTATATATCATGACAGATTTTGGAACAGAATCAATTTAATTCCACAAAATTCAATGTCTGCAAAACACATTACATAGGTAGAATATATACATTATCTCTAGTTAACTGAAATGAATGGCATTCCAATTCATCCTTACAAAGATCCATTTATTTATTAATAGTTCTCTTAAAAGAATCTTGGACATATTTAATAAAGTAATATTGATATTTGTACTATTTGTAAGTGGCTCTTCACAAACTCCTTTAGATATTTCAATAAACAAGTGAATATTTTATTTTCGTTTTGTCCATTAGAGAAACAAGCTAATAATATGGACTCTATTGGTCATTCTCTTTATTTAAAAACATTCACAAGTACTCTGTCTAAAGAGTACAAGGCTGGGGTGGCACTGACTATCCATATCCACCATGCTTTTTGTCTGTTCCTCATTTCACATTAATGATAACAATATTAAAGCACGCCAAAGTAAGATGATTTGAGGATTTTACACTTTAGTATCACCTGAGTCATGAGCCCCAAAAGACCCTAATTACAGTATTTGGCAGGAATATGCCCAGGCAGACCTGTGAATTTCCATTTTCTGATGTCCCTATTGCCTCTCTTCAGTCTTTTCACTTTTAACCCACTAGGGTTAAATATATTCCACTGCTTATGCGGATTGGCATTTTGATTTCCCCAGGGGAAATCCATCATATAAATGCAACAAACAAAAAATAAACACAAAAGGTTGAGGAGCTCTTCATTCAGGTAATTAATGAAGAATCACAATTAAAAACAAACTTTAAATGCCAGATTCAAATGTAGTGCATTCTAGTCAAGTATTTTGTTAATGACAATTTTTAAACAGCAGTTGGTAACACAGTTTACCTTATATATCAGTATTGCTTATCACACAGTGTACTTTATCAATACTGCATATCTGTTCTTGTAAGCTTGCTTTAAGTTCCATATTTTAAATGGATTTTTAAATTTAAAGATTAGCAAAAATGGGATTATCTTGGAAGTAAATGTATTTTCTTTTTGTACCTATGTGTGTGTGTATTGTAGGATGCCATATATACAGTTTTGAACTTAAACTCTTAAAACTGTAAAGGACAACCATTACTTACAAAAAACTGTCCTCTGTACTTACCTACCAGAATATGCACTTATTACATGTCTATGAATACATTTAAAACTCTTCATCAGAAAACAATGCTTCAGATATGAAAACCTATAATAATACAAAACTCTACAATTCTCAGACATTGTCTACAGTTTCAATATATTATATTTTTATAAAGGAGTAAGTTACTTACAGAGGTATTTCGGGTAATAAATCTTAAAGCAGTTGATGATAAAGCGTACAAAGTCCATGTCCTAAAATAAAGATTAAATCTTTAAGATTGCCCACATTAGAGAACTTTAAAATGCAGATTTCTAAAGGTGATAAATTATCAAATACAAATGACACAATTATTAAATTCTTAAAAAAATAAGCTCATATATAAATATCTATATTCCCAAGGATTATGGTTTCAGGTCATTAAACTACTTATAAATAGTTATAAGTAGCCTGAAAATAAGTTGAAGAAATCAGATGCTTAGTGATGTTTTAAAATTATTCACATTACCTCAAACTAGTTACATTCGTCAGGCTGCTAAGGCAACGGGGCATAAAATGGATCTAAAAGCAATCCCCAAAGGAAAATTCTAAAAATTGTTGAATAACTAAAGAATTGCTGAATAACTAAAGAATTGTTGAAACAAGTATACAGTTTATAACTTGACTACCTAGAATGATACTATGTTTGTATGTAAATTCTGGTATCTTTGAGGTTTTATACTTCATAATAGACAATAAAATATATTTTATTAATTTTTTACATAAGTTAATCTGATCACATCGCCCTGTTGTGTCTACTTAACTTCCGGCTTCTTTCCTTTTATTTAGAGAAGCAGAATTCGTTTTTTAGTTTTCCAGTGTCACTCATTGACTCCAATTTCTGGAAGACTATAAACATAGCTGTCTGGTTGGTTCTACTGCTTTGAGCACAACAACAGGAAATTAGGTCATTAGGGTTATTATTCACAGGGATCATTTTATTCCATGTCACTACATGGCCAAAGGTTGATTCACTAATACTGATCAGCCGTTTTATAAAGACTGTGGAATAAAAGATAGAACCAGGCAAACTATAATCAATCACAATTACTGAAAGGCAGGTTGTCCTAGAGATGAGATAGTCTATAAAGTCATCCCTAGCATGTGAGTTGCAGCATCTCTAAATGCAATAAACTGAAGGTAAGCATCCTTAACCATCTTAAGTATTTATTATGATACAAATCCTAGTATACAATAATTCCTTCATTATATTATTATATCTGCTGTGCATTAAGTTTCAAAATTTGAAGTTGAGTCAAAGAAAATAACAGAAAAGAACTAGTTAAATAAAAATTTTGTCACCTAGTTTATAATCTGTAGCCACCAGAGACTTTGCCTAAATAGTCTTCACGTAATATTCCTGTTTCTATCATCCTTGCCCATAAAATCTCGAGTTACCGCTAATTCGAGTGGATTTGATAGGATGCCACTGGTGGATGTCTATTAGTGGATACTACATAAAATAGCTCAATGAAATCTGCATTCTATGAAAATGTTTTTGAGATGATATTTGTTATCTTGTAAAATGTCCTCCCTTGAGGACCGATGAAAGACTTTTCTCTCTAGTTCAAGTATCAGGAATGGATACACTTCTAAGACACTGGTTTTAAAATAGAGCCAGTGAATAATTTTAAATGATTGCATTTCTTTCAGGCTGATAGCTGAAAGCTTAGATCTAAATTGGTAGCCCAACTTTAACAATTAATTTTCTTATGTTTTGCCTTGTAATTCTGTATACATCTTTATAAGCTGACTTAAATCCTTTGTAAATTATGAAGGGGTCATATATAAAAATAAATTATTCAATAAGATTCAAGTAATTTAAAATAGTAATAATGGTTGACTTAGTAATGCAAATAAACCTATTTACAAATTAAAGATGATGAGATATCCATCATAAGTAGCTTGAAAAAAATCAGACAGCTCAAACCAATTCTTGTCCCTATATATGGCAATAGAAAACATTAATGTTTATTTTTCATGATTCTGGGTTAAATAATTAGAAAACTATCATACACAAAGAATAACAGAATCATGATCAAAATATTTCTAGACAATTTGATTTTGGTTATAAAATAATTTCCTCTGTAATTAAAACCCATTGGCATGAAAACTAGGTTAGAAAAATCCAGGGCATTGGATTCTTTAAAACAAAAAGCAAAATAGAGACATGAAAAAAAAATCTGTGGTCCTACCACCCAAAAAAACTCTTGTTAACAGCTCTCTCTAGCCTGGTTTTTTGTGTTATAATGTCTAAGGTTTCCTTTCTTTGGGCTACATCTCACCATATTATAATTATTTAGCTTTTTTCAAGTTAAAAAAAGGTAATTTCTAATATTACTATAAACTCTTTATAACCATCATTTTACATAGATACACATACGCCCTCAATCTGATATACCATAATTTACCTTTTCACCACACTGAATACTTAATTTTTTTTCTAATTTTTCACTATTTTAAATGACACTCTGAAAAAACATTTTGGTGTACAATGCTTTTTTTGTATTCAGGATTATTTCTTTAGATTTCTAGAAGTTAGTTACTAGGCAAAGAGTATAAATACAAATACCTTAAGGTTCTTAACATACTTTGCCAAATGGATTGAAAAAAAAATTTCAACACTGCCCTGAGCAAGTTTGCGAATGCTACTTCACTGCTACCAGAATCATCTTTGATTAAAAATGTAAAAGATAATAGAATAAATGTGCCAACCGCTCTCAACTGCTGCTGAAGGGTTTGTAGTTACCACTAAGGTCACAAGAACTCAAATTAATGACTGCGTTTTACTTATTTTTTAAGCTTGGCAAAATTACCTGAAGAAAACTGGCTTCCAAAGCTAACTGAATCAAGCAAACAAACAGAAAACAAATCCAAACAAGGAAACAAAAATACCCAACAAAATCACAAAGTGCTGTAAGTGCAAAAGTCATATGAACATCTCGCAAATGCAAAACATGGTATGAATATAATATAATAGAGATCACTATTCACTGAATGTGTTACTCTGTGCCAGGCACAGGGGTGGGTGCTGTAGGATATTAGCTTCAATATAAAAGTTCATTGTTACCACATTGACTCATCTCCTACCAGCCTTGATGGTCTAACTCTCTACATCCTGTGTATCACACAAGGAACAGTACTAGGAAACCTACAGTTTTAATGCCAAACTCTGAAACAAATTTAATTCTTTGCAAACCCTATTCCATGTTTGAGTAAACTCACAATGCAAGGAGAAAAAAATAAATCCCAAACATAAGTTAGTTAGCTAAATTTTATAGCAATATTTGGTTGGCAGGGAGGACAGAAGAGAGGGAAGAAGCCATGATAAACAATGATTTAGAACTAATGAAAAATGCTTACTATGTTATTTATTCCAGTTTCTGACAGGTCAAACATCACTGTTACAGGTTTCCCATTTTCCCTCTTAGCATAACGTTCCAACCAGAATGCTATGAGTTTCTTTTTGTCCAACACAGTCTTCGGGTCTTTTATATAATACTTCACCCTGATCCAGACTTTAAAAAGCAAAGCAAAATATAAAAATAAGGAAAAGATTTATGGCATTATAATATTATTATATATATATTGCCTTTCTGTTGCCATTTTTCTTCATTTATAATTTGTTTTGTTTCTGATTAAAAACACCTCTTCTGTCTTTTAAATGAGAAATGAGGTTAAATCTTGTTAACCTTAAATTAAAGAGTAGCAGAAAAGTAAACTATTTTTCTTTTTCTTAGGAAGTAAATAAACTTTAAGTAAGGGGAAAAGGAAAACACAGGTAAATAAATACTATTTAGTAATAACCCAGAAGTGCTCTTCATTGTGCCTAACAAAAAAGAAAGTCACTGGTTCTGTCAAGCACTAGAAAAAGTGCTCCACCCACAGGAAAGACCCTGAAAGAGGTGGGATGGAGGCACAGGTGGGTGCTGTGCAGCAGGTGGAACGCTGCAGCCCGTTCAGGCAGTGGCAGCTAAGACGACACATGAGCAGGGAGGGGAGAATCTAAACAGAGGACAATGGCTGGACTTGAAGGACTCGAAATGAAACCCTAGGGCATTTTGGTTTTCCTAGTTTGAAGCACCACTCGGGCAGCAGCATAGAGGGTAGAGTGAAAGAGGCCAAGAAAGAAACCCAACAGGCTATGACCTGGGAAGGGGCTGGGAGCACGGGGGCAGTAGTTAGGGACTGAACTGAGGAAGTGGCTAGTCATGTTGGAAAAGGGGCCAAACTGAAGCTATATTGAGGAAGAGCCAATACGTGGGCCTGAGGTGGGTAACACAGAAGGACAGCAAGTGGTGAGATGTAGACGCTCAGTTGCACATGGCCTGGGGATGGTAGAGGGTCACCACTATATGGGGGCAGGCAGCTGAAGCTGTCAAGGTGCTTGAGATCACCAAAGAGACTGTGCTGGAAAGGAAAAGAGGCCAAAAAAGGAATGAGGCCTGGAAAGCACATTTAAGGAACAGGCGGAGAAAGAGAAATGAGAAAACAAGATTGAAAAGGAAGTAGCAGCGACAAGAGGAAAAGGCAAAGACAGTATTGTTAAAGCAGGGACAGAGCACATGCTACAGAAAAGGCAAGCAGGATGAGTGCAGGATGTCTGTTCAGCATGCTCGACCATGCCTGCCAAGTGCTACCCTTGGGACAAAGCCAAGCTGGATTCGGAGCAAGCAGGAGATAAGCACAAGGGAGTCATCTGAACAACAGAGATGATTGTTACTGCTCCTCCCATTAGTATACATATTTCAGAAGAAACTAAAGGGAGAATATCACGGGTTATTTAGCAACCTTTAGTGACTGTCATAAAGATTCTCCATAAAAATAATGAGTTGCATTTTAATATCTCAGTTGAATTAGAAAGAAGATAATAACTCTGAATTAAATTATTTTGGCTGTGTGCCTTTATTGCCTACTCTATTACAATGCAAACAGTAGGCACAGTGACTAAGTATCTGACACTTGTTAAAGATGGCCCTAATAATCCCTAAATGCAGGACACTTGATGTGTGCTACATATGGAGAAAGTACTGCTGATTATTAATTCAATTCACATTGATACCTACATCTCAAACTCTTGAAAATCCAGTGCACAAATTAAATATACTTACACAATTTGTTACCTTCTTTGTCATAACCATGGAGATAAATACCACCAATTTCCAACAACCATCTGGGAATGGAGGATTCATTAAGGTCTAAAAAGTGATAAACTTTAATCAGTAATTGTAATTTAGGAACCTAAAGATAAAACTCACAATGTAAAGACAAAGCTATGCAGTAATTCTGATATTAAAAAAGGATACAATTTATTCAAACATCTGGAAAGAAACCCTGGCAATAAAATATGGTGTTTCCTACTGATGAAACAAACACCACAGAGACACAGGTGACAGAAACGGAAAAACTCCATTTCCCTTGACATGTAGATACATTTCCACATTCTATTTGTGTTTCACATAATGACTTGCAAACAAATGTTATCATGGTTAGATAATTTCAAGAGAACATGCCAGTAAATATCTACATTACAGTCTCAGAATCAGTGAAAAAAATATCACGTTGATCTCTCTAATAAAATGGTATTTTTCTATAAAGCTTGATAAACAGTAGACTCTAATATATTTTAAAACCTTGGGGCAAGTGGAAAATACTTTAAGAAAAATGTGAGATCCTTTAGCAGGAGGAACAAACAATAGGCCTGTCCAGCCTCAGGTGAGGCCGAGGACCAATACAGCAAGGCTGCACACGCCAACGTTTTTGTTTCATTCACCAGCAGTTCCCTAAGAACTTTCAGAGATTTATCTTTCCCCACCCCCTTTAATCATATCTCTGCTGCTTGTCACCAGAAACTAGCAATTCTATGTAAGAAAACAAGTACTACTGAGTTTAAAAGTTTATTCTGTAATTAAATGATTTAGAAATATCAGATTTACATTTCTTTGCTTGATTAAAAAACGCTTCACTGTTTGTTGAAATTACCTACAGCTTTTAGATTTCCAATCACATTTGAAAGTATTATTGGGTCCTTATAAATAATTATATTCTGGTGTTTATGTTGACTGCCAAGAATATGTGCAAATACACGATTAGATAAATGTAAAACAGTAACATTTATGCAGGAGATATTACACTGTCAAGGTTAAATTGAACAGCTTACCATTGACAGAAATCTCTTTCCTCCACTGAAAACTCTCATCAAGCATCTTCAGTGTTTCATCTATATTATGTCTCCAAGCTAAGTAACTTTCAACCCAGTTATCATCTTGTTGTAGCCTTTCAACATCACGTGGATCATATTTATCTGACTTATCTAGGGAAAGAAATAGTAATAAATATCCAAATCGGATTAATTCTGCAGTGCAAAATAACAAACACTAATGCCAAAGGAGAAGAAAGACCCAGAAGACAAAGCTAAGCTATTTGAGGATAGATACAGGGATGTAGTTCAGATGAAAATGCAGTTTAAAGGACTGATGGAATTTCGAAATGTGAGGAGAATGAAGTTATCTAAAGACTGCAGGTTTAATTGAAGTAAGCCACTGTAGATTTTAAAAACAAGATCATAGTAAAATATTTGGCACAATCCTCTCTAAAACTATAAAACAACATGTGAGAAGATCAGTTATGTTATCTGAACTTGAAATCCTTAATCTAGTCCAAGAAAAAAAAATATGTAAAAAAATAACTAAGTTGTACTTAAAAAGACATGTGTTTGGCAAGTGTCATTAAAAAATATAAATTAAATGCAAACTGGAAAACTGATCACATATGCCGCATTATGGTATTTACTATTTTCCTATTCTGTGGCCAACATTTCCAATTTATTGGAATAATTATTTCCAGTAACGGTAACTTCTCATAATCCACCCTACACACATGCTATATTGCTACTAACGTCTATACCAGATATTTCTCCTTCCATGCCCTGCTCTATTTTTCTGTAACTGAACTTTCTTGTCTCATAATGATCTCTGTGCATCTGAATTCTACCACTTTGCAAGACTCCTTTTTCAAATGCTTCCTCTTCCATAAAATTTTCCCTGAGCCCAGAAGCAATTCCTTCCCTCCTGTGAACAGCTACAGGACTTAAACTAAGCCATTCTTAAGGCACTTACCACCTTTTACCTTGAATTAGAGTTACTGGCATTCGTGTCATATTTTCCAAATAGACAGTAAGAGCATATACTCTATACATCATAAGAATCTTCCAAAGCAGATCACTGTAGTGCCAATGAAAAGGACTTCAGTAAACATTTGATGACAGAATCCATTCCTTCTCATTTTTTTTTTTTTTCTCAGTTAACTGTACTCTCCCAGGAGCCCAACAAAAAACTTAAAAAGAATTTCTCTGGCTCCTTCATTTTCTTTTCTTTTGCATCTAGTTAGTTGCCAAGTTTTATAGATTCTATTTCCTCTCCATTTGCACTGCCTTATTTCAGGCCCTCAGAGATAATAGCTGAAAGGGCAGGAAAACATGCAGTGCATTTAGAGAATTATCTCCTTTAAGCCTCAATTTCCTTATCTTTCAACTGCTTTATATACTCACAGTGATGTGTGAAGATCAAATGAAAAAGTACATATAAAAGGACTTGGAAATTTAAATCACAATAAAATATAAGATGAGGCTATAAATTATGCATTTGTAGAGTGTTACTTTGGATATGGCTTTTAATATCTGGGCTCTATTTTTCTAATCTATAAAATGAGTGGTTTTGTGTTAAATAAACCCTGAAAAATATTTTTTAGCTCTGCTATTTGAAAATTCATAAGTATTCAAAGCACAATTTTTCTGTAATAATAAGCAATAATAATAATGGCAATAATAAGCATGCGTTGGCTACAAAAGAGTTCACATTGTTTAGCACTGAGATGGCCCCTGGGAGCTCCTGTCCCCTGAGGAAGCACCATCCAATTGGGCAACTGGACCAATAAGGTGTTTTCCTTGAAATTACAGGCTGACTTCATCCATTTTCAAGAAAATTTCTGCCAAATACCCAAGTCTGCATAAGCATAGTTTACTTACCAGTTGTTCTTTCAAATAAAAATGGTGGTCTATGAAAAAGGTGAATAACTCAGCTGGCATCTCAAACATACATGCAGAAGTGTTTTATGTGTACTTCCACATTTTGTCACACAGAACATCAAGAGGACATGTACTCAAGGGTTAAGATTTAATAAAATGTACTGCTTTATCAGGGACTTTCTAAAATAAAATTGGCTTTTTTTCTTTTTCCTTTCTGGAAGTGCTGACAACGAAGACTACCATGACTACTAGCCATTGCTTCTGTGTAATCAGTGCAAATGTCAGCATGGTGAAAAAGGCAAATGGTATCACAGAATTATAAAAATAGTTTTGACCTCACAGGCTTCTGAAAGAGTCTTAGGCATTCCCTAGGGTTCCTGGACTACACTCTGAAAACCAATTACTTATAATAATATTTGGCAAGTGGTTAAAAACTCTGTAAATATTAGCCATAATAAAAAAGAATAAAACATTATTGTTGGCGTTATCATTATTACTACCACTAGGAATATCATAAACAAGACAGTGCCCATTACTAAGAAATCAAAAGCCTACTGCTCTTTGATAACTTTCAGGGATGCAGATCTTTGAAATTAGAGCTCTCCATTTATATTAAAGTGATTAATTGTTATTAATAGACATGTACTTACATATGGAATGTTGGTTATTAATCATTTACTCCTAGACAAATAGAAATTAAATCAGAGAGGGGGAATAAAAGAGAAGGAGAAGACTGGAAAGGGGGACATTTGGGAGGGAAGAGAGGCAGGAGAAAAGTGGAAGCGGAAGGGGACAGAAGACGGGGATATAGGAGATGAGTGAGGAGAGGAGGAGAGACCATGAAACAGAGAGAGAAGAGAAAGATGAGGGAGGCAAAGACAGACATAAGAGGAAGGGAGGAAAAACAGGATAAACTGTGCATTCACAGTAAAGAAAACTGGGCCTGGGACCCCAAGGGCAAGGGCAATCATTAACTGTGCTTATGACATCACAATTTGCTGCTTTCAAACATAGCCCTCAGACAACTGAGCCCTCAAGTGGTCAGGAGTGTTCAGAAAACCAATCCTTTGGTAAGTCCACATGTGCTAAGTTTCAAATGTGCCCCCTCCAAAATTCAGGTGTTGCCAGTGTGTTAGTATTAAGTGCAGTCTTTGAGAAGTGATTAGGCCAGTAGGGCTCCTACCTTGTTAATGGGATTAAGGCCCTTATAGAAGAGACTTCATGCAGCCTTAGGTAGCTTGCCCTTCCAACTATTGCCATGTACAAATGCAGCAATGAGGACCAGACACCAAATGCTTGATCTTGGACTTTCCATCTTCCAGAACTGTGAGAAAATAACTTTCTGTTCTTTATATTACCCAGTCTCAGGTACTTTGTTATGACAGGACAAAACGGACTAAGGCAAGATATTATGGGAAGAAGCTACAGATGTACACTCAAAAGTTATTTGAAGATATAAAAATACACATGTGTGCACACACACACACCTAGGATGTAATTTTGAAGGGCTTTACCTATTAATGATTAAAGTGTAGAGATGAGAGGGTTTAGTTATACACACAGATATGTATGCATATGAATATACTCTCATAATACCTTGTCCTTATTACTTTCATCTCATTGTGGACCAGTGAAAACTTCATCACAAACTAACACCAATCTCAAGTGGTGGATTTTTAAGCCTCATCTTTGCATATTTTCAAAATAGCTCAAAGTTCAAGAAAAAGAGACTACAATTCTTACTTGTAAAACAGCAAATTCCATTATTAACTTTTCTTTCTCTTTCTTGTACTTGTTGGCTGGTGACATTACCAACAGGTCAGAAACTGTATTTTAAGGTTAACAAATGTAAAAAAAATTCTAGCCATATTCAGGATGTAGCATAGAGTGTTGGTATCAGAAGACACATGCTACTATGTATGATGAGACAGAAAATGTCAATCTGGACTGTATTTTGTTCTCTGAAAAATGGAGATAAGGTCTGCCTACCCACGGTCCTTAGGAAGATCAAGAACACTGAAAAATTTTAAACATTACACAAATGAATTTCTACTAATGTAAGGTAGAATGTTAACCATTAAAGGAAGACTAAATTCTAACTTACCTATTAGTTAACCAGTTGAGAAAAACTTGGAAGCATATGTAGTTATTATAAATTGCCTAGATTTCAGATAAACGTTGAAAAATATGAAAGTATTCTGATATTGAAAACTAGAGAACACTTAATAACCAGGTCTCATAACATTCAAAAGCAACAAACATATAACTCTAGATCATCATAGTAGTTTAAATGCCTTAGGATCTCTTATTTCTCCACGACTGATCTCTTCTGGATCCACTGAAAGTCCTGGTAGGGCCTTGGAAGGGCATTTGTATTGGATGGACTACTTCTATTGGCTGGACTGTGTAAATGCCAACAACGGGAGCCAAAATAAAATATTCCTTCAAGAGCATCCTCTGCAAGTTGGTCACAACTTACCCTTTGCTGTGAACCTCCACTTTCCTGTGAAGCTATCTGGTGACACTGAGTGACTGGTAACCTTTTACGACAGGATTAAGTCACTGACCTATAGCATTGAATCTCTCACTTCAGCATTTATCAGAATCACAAGGAGGGGAGGAGTGACATCATCAAGATGGCAGAATAGATGGTTCCCTGTGTCACTCTCCCCCACAATCAAACAATTTCCAACTACTAAAAAGCAAAGACTGCCAAGGTGGAGCTTGGGGAAAGAGGAGGACTGACCTGCAGAGTTCATGAAAGCAGGAGAAGCTATGAAGAGAGGAAGAAGAAACTGCTCCAACTGTTTCAAACCCCTGATGCTTCAATGTTGGCCCTGTGAGAGGCAGGAAGAAGCTACAGCATACAGGAGTGGGAGCCAGCAAAAGCCACAGGTGAGCCTTTTGATTGAAGTTTCCTGGAGTCTGCAGGGGAGAAGAGGGACTTGGAGTGCACCCCAACAGCCCCCAGGCCAGCAAGACCACTGACAAGGTTACCGTGGACCCACATAGGAGCAAGGGCAGTAGCTAAAGGAACCACCCAGATACTAGTGAATCATCACAAGAAATCTTTGAACAACTCACCCCATGGGAAGCATATGGAGTGTGGGAAAGAGACTGGGCTGCCGGGGTAATACAGGGGTGCAGCATGGGCAGCTGATCTGCCTTCCAATTGGCACAGGCCCACTCGATGAGGACTGGTCAGGAAGACAGAACTGCAGCAGGCATAGTTTGCTGGAAAGACTCAGTCCTGGGCCAGAATTTCTGCACAGCTCAAGTATATCTGA